AGGAGGCGGAGGTTGCGGTGAGCCGAGATCGCGCCATTGCACTCCAGCCTGGGTAACAAGAGTGAAACTCTGTCTCAAAAAAAAAAAAAAAAGACATACAGATCTGCCATATGACCCCCCTTCCCCACCCAGTCCATTACCCACTTCAAGGAAACAATGTGGGGAAGGCTAGCTGATTGGATTGGTGAGGGGCTGTCCTTTAAAAAGAGTGGGTGGCCTGATACGGTGTGTTCTGAGAGTGAGCTGAACAGAATGGGTAGGAGAGGTTGGTTGATAAGTGTCTTGAAGAATCTGAGAAACATAAAAATACAACTAGCTTTATACCTGACAGTTATAAAGTCCAAGGTTGGAAGGTGACCTGCCAGCAGACAGTTGGGCCCTGGCAGAAGCAGGCTATCTTCCTCCACATGGCAGGTCAAGGGTTGCTTCCCAGAGGCCAGAAGGAGCTGGACTTGGGGCATCCTGCAAGGGCCCTAGCCAGCCTCCCAGCACTGCTGGAACGGGTAAGGGGAAAGCAGCAGAGAGTCTGCTGGGGGAGGAATGCTGGAAGCTGGGGCTGGAAATGGGTGCCACCAAAGCAAAAGCCTCAAACATGCAGTGTGCAGTGTGCAGTGCCCCTTTGAGACTGTGGCAGGGTCGATGAACAGACACAGCAGGCTGGGAGGCTCAGAGGCTCTTCAGACCTTGTGAGCCATGCAAAGCCCTCTGGAAATCTGAGTCTCAGATAACCTGGAGGGCCAGAAGTATGCCTACTGAGCATATAGCTCTGGGGACAGTTAGAAGGTTCCTGAATATGGGTGGCTTCTTATTGCTTTTAGCAGATGCGACAAGAAAAGAGGAAGCCAGGAGAGAGCTGGCACATCTGCAAGTGGATGGAATGAAATGGAGCACTGGAGATAAAACGCTACACAAACATGGAAAGTCAAAGGGAAAATCCAAGGCATTTTTTGTTGTTGTTTTTTGAGACAGAGTTTTACTCTTGTTGTCCAGGCTGGAGTGCAATGGAACGATCTCAGCTTACTGCAGCCTCCGCCTCCCAGGTTCAAGCAATTCTCCTGCCTCAGCCTCCTGAGTAGCTGGATTACAGGTGCCCACCACCACTCCTGGCTAATTTTTTGTATTTTTGGTAGAGACAGGGTTTCGCCATGTTGGTCAGGCTGGTCTTGAACTCCTGGCCTCAGGTGATCCGCTCGCCCCAGCCTCCTAATGTGCAGGGACTACAGGCATGAGCCACTATGCCCAGCCAGAGAAACTAAGGCTTTGAACAGCAAAGGCTTCCCACTGAGCCAAAACAAGGGACCCAATCCTGCTGCAAAAACCAGGTTGAGGGCATTGCTGGTCCCCAATCTTATGTCTAACATAACCTCAAGGTGCCTGTCCTTAGGCTGACAGAGCTGGGCAAGGGAGCATGCAAGGAGATAAGGCAGCCTGAGGCTCCCATCCAGGGAGGAAATTTGGATGTGGTTCCTGGCACATAGGACTGCCTGAGGGAAAACTCTACTCTCAAAGAAAAATGAGTCTGTGCTGGGCGTGGTGGCTCATGCCTTTAATCCTAGCACTTTGGGAGTCCTAGGTAGGTAGATCACCTAAGGTTAGGAGTTTGAGACCAGCCTAGCCAACATGGTGAAATCCCATCCCTACTAAAAATACAAAAACTAGCTGGGCGTGGCAGTGTACGCCTATAATTCCAGCTACTTAGGGGGCTGACGCAGGAGAATTGCCTGAACCCAGGAGGCGGAGGCTGCAGCGAGAGACGGCACCACTGCACTCCAGCCTGGATGACAGAGCCAGCCTGTCTCAAAAAAAAAGGCTTTCTGTATCCTTCTATTTTTATATTCTTTTAAATACACAAATGAAACATTTTGCATTTTTCACTATGTTTTAGAAATTGTTCTATATTAGCACCTATGGATTTTTATAATATTTAATTTTATGTTATTTATCCAGTCCTCTTCAGCTGGATACAAGGGATGCTTCCATTGCTTTTGTTATTAAAATTTTGCTTTTGCCCAAATTTTGTTGGGCAAATCACAAAGTGGGAGAAAATATCTGCATTATATACATTTGAAAAATGATTCATCCAGAATATATAAAGAACGCCAGCTGAGTGTGATGGCTCACACCTGTAATCCCAGCACTTTGGGAGGCCGAGGTGGGCAGATGACCTGAGGTCAGGAGTTTGAGACCAGCCTGACCAATATGGTGAAACCTTGTCTCTACTAAAAATACAAAAATTAGCTGGGCATGGTGGCACATGCCTGTAGTCCCAGCTACTCAGGAGGCTGAGACAGTAGAATGGCTGAAATTCTAGAGGTGGAGGTTGCAGTGAGCTGAGATTGTGACACTGCACTCCAGCCTGGGTGACAGAGTGAGACTCCATCTCAAAGAAAAATGTAGCTGGGTGTAGTGGCTCATGCCTGTAATCCCAGCACTTTGGGAGGCTGAGGTGGGCGGATCATAAGGTCAAGAGTTCGAGAGCAGCCTGACCAACATGATGAAACCCTGTCTCTACTAAAAATACAAAAATTAGCCAGGCATGGTGGTGTGTAATCCCAGCCACTCAAGAGGCTGAGGCAGGAGAATCGCTTGAACCCAGAGGCGGAGGTTGCAGTGAGCTGAGATGGTGCCACTGCACTCCAGCCTGGGCAACAGAGCTAGACTCCATCTCAAAAAAGAAAAAAAAANAAAGAAGAAAAATGAGCCTGGCCTAAAATAGCCTATTGGTGTCTTAAAACAGGCTGTGGAACCCCAAACTGTTATCAGCATGAAGTAGACAGTGAAGGCTGCTCGCCCCCAAGGAGGGCACACTTCCCACTGCCTGCCTCCCTTGTGGCCATGGAAAGTAACAGACAAGCAGGAGGCCCCAGGGAGGCTGAAGCAGGGATCTGTGGAGGAGCAAGCTCCACTGCCAGTGCGGCCAGCAGGGCTCCACTGCTGCGGGGTGGGGGCCAAGGCTGTGCCTCTTTTCTGAATGGAGTTACAGTTGCAGTTATCCTGTTCCTCTCTATCGTGTGTGTGTGTGTGTGTGTGTCCTTGTGTTTCTGTGTGTAGGTCAGAAGATGTCATTCCTAAAGCTGAGAAAGAGGAGACTGCCTGTCACCTGGAAATCTTGGACTTGGAGGTAGCTGCGGTGACCACATGGCCATCGGTTGGCTTTCTTGGGGCTGGGGGTAAATGCATCTGAGTGTGGAAGGAGGGTCATGCAGATACAGGTTGGCAGGGAGTAGGCTGCAGCCGTGCCTTACAGCTTTCCATGGAAATCATTGCTGGCTTCTTCCAGGGCACTTGCTAGACTATATTTCCCAGCTTCCCTTACGGTTAGCTAAGGCCATGCCACTAAGTTCTTCTCACCAGAATGTGAGTGAGGAACAAGTGGCACTTCCAGCCCTTCTGTGCTTCTAGCCCTTTCTGGGAAACGGAACTTGGACAAGGTGACTGAGACTCAACAACGCAGAGGGCAGTATGGCACTGACAGATAAGGACTGAACTGGAAGCTGGAAGGAGTGTAGTTTCTCATTCATTTCTTTTTATTATTAAAAAAATTTTTTTAGAGATGGGGTCTCGCTATGATGCCCAGGCTGGAGTGCAGTGACCATTCACAGGCGCGATCCCACTACTGATCAGCACGGGAGTTTTGACCTGCTCCGTTTTCCGACCTGGGCCAGTTTACCCCTCCTTAGGCAACCTGGTGGTCTCCCACTCCTGGGAGGTCACCATATTGATGCCAAACTTAGCGCGGACACCTGATCGTCATAACACACTACAGCCCAGAACTCCTGGGCTCAAGTGATCCTCCCACCTCAGCCTCCCAAGTAACTGGGACTACAGGCACATGCCACCGTGCCCGGCTCCTAATTCATTTCATGAGGGATGCCAACCCTGGACTGGCCAGAGAGGAGGATACAAACATTGGTTTGGGCCATTACATTTTTGGGTCTATTATTATAGCAGCATGGCCTGCCCTAACTATTAGGATATTGAATAAAATGGTATCAAAACTCTGGAAACAACCTGAACATCCAACAATAGGGGATAGGTTAAATGGATTACATCACACCCATACAACCTAATACTATTTCATAAAAAATAATGTGGTGGATACTCAGTCATATAAAAAGACACCTACGATTGTTGCGGTCGGAAGAAAACAGGTTCTTACGGGAAAGGAAGAGAAGGAGGAAGACATCTCTGACATGGAAGGTGTTTTACCTTACCCTGGGTGACCCAAAGTTCCCGTTTTCCTCAAATTCACCAAATAGACACTCTGCTTTTTGACATTCTGAATCTGGTTGAGGCCACGAAGATTCAACCTCTGAAAGTCAAAGTTAAGAAGTACGTTACTAGTTTTTCAGTGAATTACAATCCATTAATGCATAATTTATATATTGATACTTCTACATACGAAAGTGTCCCATTTTTTCTAAGAAAAGGGGAATGTGTTACTTTTCTTAAAAAAATTTATCCTCTCTTCTCCTTTCCCCTAGCTCCCAGTTTCCTTCTTAGCCCTTCAGCAATGCAAATATAACCTTTCACCTCCCCCTCAACGGACATTCCCTGCAGGGCAAGCTTTTCTAACTGTGTGCTCTTCTAGAGCACAGATCTCTCCTCCAATTGACAGTAGATTTGCAGACCAAAGTAAACCCACCTTGGAACTTTCACCTCCAGGGGGTGGCCTGGAACTTCCACCCTCAGGGATGCCTCAGACCATATTGAAAGCATGCCCACTTGGCCGCTGCCATAGCTCATTTATACCCAGGAAGGTGCCAAGTCAACTGTCCTATACAGTAGGCATGGAGCTAGCAGAGGGACCCCCCTCACTTGCCCTTGTGCCCTTCCCCTCCTATCTTATAAAAAAAAAACGCGTCCACTTTCTGTTCCAAAGGGGAACCCACACTTTTAAAGAAAGGGAGGACACTTTGTACCCTTTACCCAAGCTAGTTTCAGAATAAATTTACTTTTTTTTGGTACCAGGCCTTGCTCCTCTTGTTAATTGGACTCTGCATCCGGCGAGCAACTAACCTGCATTTCTGTTACATAATCATGCTCAAGTTTTTTTTGGTTTGTTTTTGTTTTTTGTTTCTGAGACAAAGAAACAAAAACTCGCTCTGTCACCCAGGCTGGAGTGCAGTGGCACGATCTCAGCTCACTACAAACCCCTGCCTCCTGGGTTCAAGTGATTCTTGTGCGTCAGCCTCCCGTGTAGCTGGGACTACAGGTGCCCCCCACCACATCTGGCTGATTTTTGTATTTTTAGTAGAGACTGGGTTTTACCACATTGGCCAGTCTGGTCTCGAACTCTTGGCCTCAAGTGATCTGCCCTCTCAGCTTCCCAAACTGCTGGGATTACAGGCATGAGCCATTGCACCCAGCCCTATGTTAAAGTTTTTCAGGAATATTTCTTAGGATTTTGTTGACCTTGTTTTAGTGCATTACAGTGAGTTCTCCCTGTGTCTCTCTAAGCCCGTGTTGTCCAACAGGCTAGCCAACAAGCCACATGTAGCTATTTACATTTAAATTTGTTGGAGATAAAACCAAATCAGCTCCTCAACTGCACCAGCAGTTTTAAGAACCCTGTGGCCACAGGTGGCTAGTGGCGCAAACACAGCATTTCCATCACATCAGAAAGTTCTACTGGGGGGGCTGTTGCAGGCTGTTCAGGTTACAGGGTGGTTAGCAGGAGGCTGGGAGGCATCCACAATGCTCTTAAAAGGTCACTAAGAGAAGCAACAGGAAATAGCAAGAGGCAGAAGCCTGCTGAAGTCCAGAGGATTGGCTCTGACTGCTGACTGCTGTCTGACAGATCTTATTAGCATGATCTGCAGGAGAGAATGTGACCTGTGAATTGTTTTTAGTCCCTAACTGCTGGGCATACAGGCAACAGGGTCTGAGTTGATTACCACCAGCTCTGCTGACCAGCTGGGGAGATGAAGGAAATAATCAGACAAGAGCCAGTGGGGCACAAGAGTGGTGCAGCTGGAGTGGTGAGATGCAGGGGACGTGACAGCGGAGGTGATGGAGCGAGGTGGGGGCGGCCTCGGGCCTTGCCAAGAACCCCAGCTGGATGTCTTCCTGGGAAGGCACCAAAGGGCTTTAAGAGGTTGGTGATAAGATTTACATTCTCCAAAGGTCACTGGTTGCCATGGAGAGAAGGGGCGAGAGACTGTTAGTTACTGCTCTTGAGCCAGCAGTACCCTTGGCAAACTCAGAAAAGAGAAGGCAGAAGGCACAGGGCTGAGAAGTGAGTGGAGGAGGAAACAGGCTGGGGGGCAGAGGAAGGGGAGGTGGGGGACAGAGCGCAGACCTTAGAAACACATGGCTCTGAAGGAAAAGTGAAAGTGCAGCCATGATAACCTCCGTTAAGCTATCACACATTCTAGAGTGTTCTCCATCTGCTTGACACTGCTCTCAGCCTTTACATAAATGGACTGCCCTCATTACAATCCTGTGACGGACATACTCTTATTACAGTCCTTATTCTTGACAGTTTTGTGCTAGAAAGTTGCCACAAACACTTAATGAGTAAATTATTTATAGGAGAAATATAAGGCTAGGTCCTTGTAAGCCACCAGTCACAACCTTGTTAACAGTCGATCAATACATAACCTTATTTCTGTTTAAACACATCTTATGTAATATATATATATAGTTGATCCATTAACATTGATCTTGGCTGGGCATGGTAGCTCAACCCTATAATCGGAGCACTTTGCGAGGCCAAGGTGGGAGGATTACTTGAGCTCAGGAGTTTGAGATCAGCCTGGGCAACACAGAGAGACTTCATTTCAACTTAAAAAATCAAAAACATGAGGCTGGGCACGGTGGCTCACACCTGTAATCCCAGCACTTTGGGAGGCTGAAGCGGTAGATCACCTGAGGTCAGGAATTCTAGCCTGAACAGCATAGCAAAACCCCGCCTCTACTTAAAATGCAAAAATTGGCCAGGCATTATGGCACAAGGCTGTAATCCCAGCTACTCAGGAGGCTGAGGCAAGAGGATTGCTTGAACCCGGGAGGTGGAGGCTGCAGTGAGCCAAGATCGCACCATTGCACTCCAACCTGAGTAATAAGTGAAACTCTGTCTCAAAAATAAAATAAAATAATAAATAAAATAAAAAACATTAGCTGGGTGTGGTGGGGTGCACCTGTAGTTCCAGCTACTCAAGAGGCTGAGGTGGGAGGATCGCCTGAGGCAGAGAAGTAGAGGCCATAAATGAGCTATGATTACACCATTGCACTTCAGCAGTCTGGGCAACAGAGCCTGTCTCAAACAATAGTAACACATTAATTGATCTCAGGACAACAGCACCTTAACTCATGCCTGAACAAAGCTTCTCTAACACATGCATGTTCTCTGTGAGGAACATCACAGCCTCTTCATGCTGAACTTTGCATTGCACTTCGAGACAATTTTAACCTACCAAAAAAAAAAAAAGGTACAAAAATGTGAAAAACATGGCACTAACCAGACTATGAAAAGGACACTTGTTTGCACTATGACAGCTGATATAAGAAGGCAGGGCAGCACTTTGTCGGACCTTGGCTGGGAACATGCACCTGGAGGAGCTCACATTTTTTTTGCTACTCTGAACACATCTTTGAAACAACCACAAAAGGGCCAGGGGTATTGATTTTGGGGTAACAAATTTTAGCAAGTGAGCAAATTCACAAATACAGAAGCTTAACGAACGAGGATCCACTGTAGTTGTGTTTTACAGATGAGGAAACTGAGGCACCAAAGGGTCACTTGCCTACACAGATACAGAGATATCAAGTGGTAGGGCTGGGACGGAACCCAAGCTGTCTGGTCCCAGAGTCTGTGCATAGAGGAAGGAATTGTTTTTCCAGGAATCAGAGCAGTGCTCAAAACATCCAAGGAAAAGTGTCTGAGAATGTCGGGTTCACCTTGGGGAAGCTCCCTTCTCTCCAGGATCCCAGACCCTTGAACCTTAGTTGTCTTAGCTGATACCTTCACACGGCTGTTTTTTTGTTTTATTGTTTGTTTGTTTGTTTTTTGTGTGTGTTTTAATTTAATAGAGATTTGATGGTTGTTATTGGTGGGAGATTTGGTCAAATGTAGGTCAATGTAGATTACTCATTCACAGCCAGAAATAGAAGTCTTTCTTCGACTGTGTTTAATCATAAAAAAGAACCATTGCCAAATACTCCTTGCTTTATATCTTACCTGCTTTTGCCAATTTAACATTCCTTGGGCAACTGCTAAGCCTTTTGGAACCTCAGTTTCCTTCTCTGAAGGAAGGGATCATGGTACTCACAACAAACCTCGTAACTGTGAGCATAAAACAAGAGAACAGAAATACCCCAAATACAGAGCCTGAGGGTGTTCAGGCTCTGAACAAAAGCATGGAGACCTAGGTCAGAGGCAAACTTCAGCTTCCGCCTAGGGGAGGCTCCATTCTGTTCTGCTTGAGAGAGGCAGAGCTCAGAGGTCAAGGTCATAAGATGAGTGTTCTTTTTAAAGCCACCCGGCAGCCACGTCTCCCTCTAACTCCAAGTCACCCACAAGCCCTTGGACCACATATCATGGTAGGCTTGCCTAGCTTGAGTCTTCAGATGTGTGTGCTCGCTCACACAGTGCCGGCTCATGGGATGCATTTGAGGAAATATTAGATAGTTTCTGGGCCTAAAGTCTCAGGTCCATGGGTCAGGAACTACCTGACCCAGTCATCGCCCACCCCCGATAAGGACTGGCCTTGGTGGCCAGCAGGGAGGCCAGCCTTCCTTCCCAGGTGTCCCCTTGTCATCCCCAGTCCTGTCAAAGCACAGCACTTGAAGAGTGAATCAGGACTCATGCTTTGCAGGGGGAGGATGAACTGGTACAGATACTTTTGGCATCAAATGAGTAGATTATTGGCTTGCCCTTTGCCCAGCAACTCCATTCTGAGGAATTCACCCGAAAGGAACTTCTGTCCATGCACAAGAACACTCACAGCAGCACCAACATAACAAAAGAACACCACAATCAACCAAACGTCACCTAAAGGAGCCTGGATAGAGTGTGATATATTCACCGAAATGGAAACTATCCAGCAGTGAAAATAAATAAATGACAACTGCATACATCCATGATGACGATGTTCAGAATCAGTATTGAACCGATTTTGTGTTGAACTCCCCCTATAAGGCATACTCCCGATTCGTTCTTCAATTGCTGTGGTTTGACAGGGCCTGGGGCAACAAGGGGACACCTGGGAAGGAAAGCTGGCCTCTCTGTTGGCCATCCAGGCCAGTCCTTACTAGCCATAGCAGAATTGATACAGCAGAACGCCTTGTATATAAATAATACATAGCTTGAGGGAGATACAGAGAAGGTCAAACTCTAAGAAAAGGAGGGTATGATTAACAGAATTCAGGCTGGCAGATTCCTCCAGGGAGGATGGGGCAGTGATGGGGTGAGCACAAGGGCCTCCTGAGGAACAAACAAATTCTCTCTCTTAACCTAGTATCATGGATACCAGTATTTGTTATTTTCTTAGCTTGGATGCTATAACAAAATACCACCCACTGGGTGGCTTATAAACAGTAGAAATGTGTTTCTCAGAGTCCTGGAGGGTGGGAAATCCAAGATCAATGCACCAACAGCTCTGGTGTCTGGCGAGGGCCATTTTCCAGGTTCATAGATGATGCCTTATCACTGTGAAAGGGTGAACAAGCTCCCTTGGGCTATTTTACAAGGGCACTAATCCCAATCACATGGGCTCCACCCTCAAACCTCATCACCTCCCAAGGGTCCCATCTCCTAATATCACTTTGGTGACAAGGTTTTAACATATGAATGGTGGGGTGACACAAACATTCAGACCACAGCATTTATTATTAGTTTTTAAGTAGTATAAATATTTATATATCTTTTTAAATGTATAAACTTGTGTAATTGTCTGCAAGGCAATAAAAATAATTTGAAAGTGAGTGAGGGTATAACCTGCTTGTTAGGCCTAAAGTCAAAAGGTCATAGGGTCATGGGTGATGGTCTTGTCCCTCTAGGAAAATGGACAGATGTCTAAAAGCTGTCCAAGGCATGAAGAATTGGATGCCTCAGGAGCTTACTGAGTTATATATGAGGCCGCATGCTATGGTTTGAATGTCTGTCACCTCTGAAACTCATGTTGAAACATAACTCAATGTGGCAGTATTGAGAGTCGGGGCCTTTAAGAGGTGACTGGGTCATGAAGGCTCTTCCCTCATGAATTGATTAATCCATTCATAGATTATCCAAAGATATTAATCCAATAATTAATCCAAATATTAATGCATTCATAGATTAATGGGTTATCATGGGATTGGAACTAGGTAGGCTTTAGAAGAAAAGGAAAAGAGACTTGAGGTAGCACACTCAGCCCCTTACCATGTGATACCCCGTGCCGCCTCGATACTCTGCAAGGTCGCCACTAGCAAGAAAGGCGCCTTGACCTTGGACTTCTCAGCCTCCAGAACAATAAGAAAAAAATCCTTTTTCTTTATAAATGCCCAGTTTCGGGCATTCTGTTATGAGCAACAGAAAATGGACTATGACACATCCAGTTATCTCCTCCTCGAAGCTGTCTCTAGTATTTAAGGGGAAATGTTAAAGATGCAGCCCCTGTCACATCCCTCCATCAAAAAACATAGGCTGCCTCGTGGAACCAGAGTCCTTCCCAGCCTCCAGTGGGTAAGCCTGGGCCTGGGGGCCGTGGAGCTGTGCTCTTAAAAGCCATTTCTGTGGATTCTGGGTTCTGCTGAGTAGCCAGAGCTGAGAAACCGATCAGGCACTAAATATGCTGTCCTGTGTGGCGGTCAACAGCCCTCATGGTTACTGAGCACTAGAAATGTGGCTAGTGGGACTGAGGACCTGGATTTTCAACTTTAATTATTTGAAGTGATAATAGAGTTATTAGGAGATGTTTTTTCCTTTTCTTTTTTTTAAGACGGAGTCCCACTCTGTCGTTCAGGCTGGAGTGCAGTGGTGCGATCTCGGCTCACTGCAACCTCCGCCTCCCGGGTTCAGGTGACTTTCCTGCCTCAGCCTCCTGAGTAGCTGGGATTACAGGCATCAGCCACCACACCTGGTTTATTTTGTATTTTTTGGAGAGACGGGGTTTCTCCATGTTGGTCAGGCCAGTCTCGAATTCCCGACATCAGGTGACTTGCCTGCCTCAGCCTCCCAAAGTTCTGGGATTACAGGTGTGAGCCACCGCGCCTGGCTATTACTATGGTTTTTGTTTGTTTGTTTTTGAGACGGAGTCTTGCTTTGCCAGCAAGGCTGGATCTTGCAGTTAGCGATCTTAGCTCACGGCAAACTCTGCCTCCCGGGTTCAAGCAATTCTGTCTCAGCCTCCAGAGCAGCTAGGATTACATGTGTGTGACACTACGCCCGGCTAACTTTTCTTTTTTTTTTTAGTAGTGACGGGGTTTCACCATGTTGGC